GTTACACTAATAGTCGCTATTGCTTTAATAGCGCCGTGTCTTCAGAAGCGTCATGCCGCTGTCATGGTTGTCAAAAATGGAGGCAGTGGGTAGGATTCTGCCGTTCAAAATGCCGGTTATTGATGTCACAGCAAGGGAGACTCAATAAAACTGGATACATATTGTCACCTTTTCTTGGATTTGACTAAGACTTCTCCTATTTTCTTGATTTTGGTAGGGCAGGAAGACTCGAATCGCAACGAGCCTAATGCGTTTCAAAAGGTGTAAACAGGCACTCACGCTAATATAATCGTCTCATGCACTCAAAGGTTTCAATAAGCACACTCTTGCGCATTTTCACACTGAGGCTTTGCTCATATTTGCTGTAGCACTGTTTGAGTGTACACTCACCGCTCACTTTCGTACTCATGGCGGCTCAGTCAACTGTGAAATCAGCACTTGGAACTCTGCTCTAACTCGAAGCAAAATGCTGCTCCTCAAGGCTGACCACCCAGGCGCTTGAGAGGACCTTTTGATCTCCTCGGGTGCTGTTTGAATCAGCAAGGGAAATAAGCAATGGAGTATGGACTTGTGATTGGTGTGTCGCTCGGCGTGTGCGCCGCGATAGCCGCACTATTCCTCTTGCTCTCGTGGCTTTGGTCCCCAAGCAAGTTGCAGCTCTCTGGCAGGCACATTCTCATCGGGGGCGGCTCCCAAGGGATAGGTCTGGAGCTTGGAAAGTTGTTGGTTGCTGAGGGGGGGTCTGTATCTGTGGTTGCGCGCAACAAGGACACACTGGCCAAGGCAAAAGCGGAGGTGAGAGCGGGGGGCTTGATATTTCTTTTTGCCATCAGTACACTTGCTAGAAGGGGTCTTATACAGGGGACAGCCAGCCTCGTCCTACAGAACCGCCAAGCGAGCACAAATGGTGGTGTGTCGTAAAATGAGAGATTCACACTGCTATTGAGCGGAGGGTTGGTAGTCAGGTCTGCCATTCCTGTATCCAAGGAACAAACAATTGCTCCATGAAGGAGGGACAAAAGCAATGTTTCCAGCTCGTTTGGCATTCTAGATTCTGTCATCTCGAGATAGCCATTTCTGGAGGCAAGTATTGTGTGTACACCAAAAACTGACTAGATTCAGGGGGGGAGTTGCTTCAGGGCCTTCACAGATAGTCTGGGGGTTGCTGTGTTTCATTGCTATGTTCAATGATTGTTTTCGCAAAGTTTATTAAAACCGCATCCTGGCTTTGGCAAAGTTTATCAAAACCGTATCCTGGCGTACAATTTCCCTTGCTAAAGTGATTGAAAGCTGCGAGTATCTCAAACATATTGATTCCTTATGACAGCTTCTGTTGGACCGAAAGCAGCAAGCTCGAAATGGAAAAAATTTCCTGGCATCAGCCCAGCGGAATCATCTCTACACAAGCCCTCTGCGCAGACTCCTGCTCCTACTTTCTTTTCCTATCGACCCCATTCCCCTTCTCTCTTTCAGATTGAGAAACACGTTCTGGCGGACAAAACCGCCTCGGTCAAGGTGGTCACCATCTCCGGAGACCTAACTAGCTGGGAGTCGGCCCAAACCGCGGTTCGCGAAGCGTGCGCCGCTCAAGGCAAACCAATCACTCTCCTCATCTGTGCGGTGGGACTCGGCACTTCGGGAACGCTCGAGGACATGGACATGAAAACTATTGAGGGACTGATGCGCACCAACTGGCTGGCGCCCGTGCATCTGGTCAAGGCCGCGTTGCCGAGCCTCAAGGAGGGACCGCGGCCGGCGCACATCGCGCTCTTCTCATCCCAAGCGGCGCAGGTGAATGGTTTGATTAGTTGACATGAACGAGCTCTTTGCTGTCAAGCTGGTGTTGGAGGTCTGTGTTGTTGCTCCAAAGTGCTTTGAGGTTGCTACAACCTGTGGCTTTAGGGAGGGCCAAAGTCGAAGTAGACGAAGGTTGCTGAGAATCAGCCGTGATATGTTGGATTTCGGAGAGCACCATGGAGGCATGTCGACAGAAGTGCTGGCTGGTCTATCTCATCCGCCAGCTTTTATAGCCGAATAACTTTGTTTGCGGAAGATCGTGACAACACTTTCAAGGTCCAGACACCTTTGTCCTGAAAGAGCTTGTATCCTTGGTTGCAGATGGGAGTGTATGGTTATGCCGCTTACTCGTCCGCTAAGTGCGCCCTCAAGGGCCTGGCCGAGGTCTTGGAGTTTGAGCTTGCGCCGTATGGCATCCGCCTTTCGCTCTGCTTCCCTCCAGACACAGCCACGCCCGGCTTCGACGTGGGTGAGAATCGTTGCCAGGCGTTGTGTTTCTGCAGAAGCTTTGTTTCTGCTCCTTCCACATCTTCTTTCGACCTTTGTTCAGCGGATTCAAGAAAGCCTGCGCCGCAGGCTTATTGCTTTACCAATCGTACGGTTACCTAGAATTAGTCCCGTTAGGAAAAGACTCACTTTCGACGAGCCTCCGTCGGCTGGCAGGGATGATGTGGCAGGACAGCTCTCCGCGCCATTTAAAAGCCTTGTGGGCATTCTGAAAAAGAGGACAGTGCAGAAAGGCGCATATCAAAGGCCCGTCAACAAAGAGCAGACCTTGGGGATGATCAAATTCTTGGTAGAGCGAGAGCTTCTGGCGTCATCGAGTTCTGCTAGCTGCGCTGAGACGTTCTGAGCATGCTGACGTCTTCAGAGCGTGCTGACGTCAGCGTTGTTCTGTCCCGCCTGGCCTTGCTCAGAGGAGCTTACGAAGCCGGAGCTGACGCGCATCATCTCGGAGGGGCAGTACCAGGCGTTTGCGCCGGACGCCGTGGCTCGAACAGTTCTTTGCGGGATCAAACGGGGAGAGTTCCAGGTGCGTTAGGTTCCGCGTCGACCGAAAAGTGGTATGCTCACCAGCTTCGCACATATACGTCTTTGTACACTGCTTTTCTAGTTGTAATCGGTACCAGGTCTGTACTTTTCGTACCACGTGATCGATTAAAGCGTTCTCATTGGTGCGGAGGACCGGAGATGAGCGCTCAGCCATTTCGGTCGATGCGGAACCTCACACGACGGATCAGACAAGAGACCTGAAAGTGCAGTGCGGTTAGAGGGATGGGGACTGAGCGTGTGGGGGTTGTCTCGATATCCTGGTGCTTGGGGCTCCAAAGTCACCTTTGGCACACCTGACGTTACGTGCAGTACTTTTTGATGCTCCCGTCACCTTCTCGTTTGCAGATACCAGTTGGGTTTGACGGGTGGTTATTGAAAAACTTAAACGCAGCGAGCCTGCCCCAGCCGTACCTTGGACAGCTAGTGGTGGAGAGCTTATTGGCCGGGCTGCTGCGAATCGTGGTCCAGTTCTACAAGGGGGACTGGCACCGGACGATACGGAAGTGGCACCAGCAGAAGAAAAAGTAAGTAAGGCAGAGCTTCGAGCCGCTGTTCTGGTTTTCAGAAAGTGCGCTGAGCAGCACTTATGGCAGACGGCGGTCTGATTGAACTTGTGTCCGCATCATCGAACAGTTGGGAAGAAAAAAAGGTCGGAGATTTGAGGGTCTGCCAGAGTGCAAGTAATGATCCATCACCTGTAGGAAGTGATGACGAAGAATGCTTTTGGCACTGGCACGTTGTCAACTTCAAATCCCCTCTCATTTTTAAAGATGGAGGCAAGCTCTTGCGTGGAGGCGGGGCCGCTTATCTCTTGAGCCGCTTTCGAACACGTTTCAGACTATCTCGATATGGGGCGCGACGAGTTGGTACGTCGCGCTTAGATATCAGTGGTTGACCCGCTTCTGTATTTTACAAGCTTTTGGGCGCGGGCTCAGCTGCTCGGTCGAGCCCTGAGCTAAACGCAGAGCCCAATTTCCTTTCCATGAATCGAAGAGAGCCTTCGTGACTTCAAATCACGGTTCAGCTGTCCTCACCGCCTGTCACTGGTGAAGACAAGCCCAAAAGGGGTTCTTGGCCAATACTTCAGACGGTTTCATCTGCAACTGCAGTCTGTGCATTTAATGTACGTCGGCGAGTTGGCGTTACACAATCTTGTGGCTTCTTCCGGCTGCTTAAAAGTCTGCCCAATGGTTCTGGCTGTTCGACTTTGGAAGCTGCTGTCGAAATCATTTTGCAGGCTCTGTTTAAGGGGAATGTGTCCGTCTACTTAACGACCTTATTGCGTCTCTGTTTTTTGCAGGCAAGGCTAAGGAGCCCATGAACTCTGTCTCGTCAACGATGGCTTCCGATCAAGTGTCAGCAGTACAGTCAAAATCAGCGTTCATTTACATCCGCGTCAGCAGCGTTGTCTTTCATGACGATGGAGCAAAGCTGGCGAATGTGTTTGATGATGACAAACCGGAAGGATCAAAGGTAAGGTCCAACATAAACATTTCGGGTGTCCCGAATTTCTTGTTGTATTTACTCGTCGCACGGATGGCGCACGGAAACCAATTCAAATGGTTTCAACCGAGAATGATCAGCTTAAACGATCCAAGTACTCACGTGGTGCTACACTTCGACCAAGGTGACGTATGCTCTCTAATATGATAACCATGCCGTAAAAGCCTATATGCGCGTTTGACGGCCATGCACTTGGCGACACGAAAGATTGAGCATCAGCGATGCCTCGGGACGATCAGATCTTGTCGAACAGGAGACGATATAATGGATTCAATGATTAATAGCGTGTTGTGGCTTTGAAATTCAGTGGCGCCGTCGCGCTCCCGTGCATGATCTGTCCGACAGCATGTGGACGGTCGTTTGTGCAATCAATTGCGTCGAGTCCGTTGCATACACATGCAACGGCATGGCAATGATACATTACCCAAGAATAATCGCGCGCGCAGTTACCCAGCCTCATGTGCTATAGTGCCATGGGTCCGGACCCATCATTGTGGCCTGTACTTCACGCGCGCGAGATTCAGAGGTAGCATGCATTATCTTTTGATAGCATTCAACGAATTTCAAATGCGCGAGTTCGATTCCGGCGATCGCAAAAGAGTAAACATGTTTGTCAAGCATGAGGGCTACATACACAATCGTATATGATGCGTGGACATGTTTCGTGCAAGGGCGCGCCCCGGGGGGCCTGCTGCCCTCACTGAGTCAGGTGGTGTAATAAAAATGACGCGCGGCGGTGGCGACATGCAATCATTCGTCATATGCATGCATGTCGCCGGGCTGGCACATGGTGACGAGATTGACCAATGCTTTGAGCGCCTGGCGCTGATGCCGTAATCGTTACTTGCCGAGCATATGTGTAGACCTAATACTAAAGGGCAGCCTGAATCTGTAGCATTCTTATGTCGTGTCCAAAACATGTACATGGTGCAGAGGACATCGTTTGTTTATCAGTCAACCGAGGTGCGCGCTGCGGTTGGTAGCCCAATCAAGCAGTCATCACCGATTCCTTCGTCTTTAACATCCGGGTCACCATGCACACAAGGCCTGCTGGGATCATGCTGCTGCCGTGCACTCAGTGACAAAAACATAGTCCTGACGTCAACAGGTACATCAAATCCGTATCCTGCATAGATGCAACCCGCTAAGACTATTGTAGCGGAACGTTTCGCTCTTCTTACTACAAGTGTGCACTTCTAACAGAATGCTGTTGTTTTGATCAGAAGAACGTCTACCTAGGAAAGGCACCACGCGCTTTAGAAGATCCTAGAAGGTTACAATCCAGCTAATCGCTCAAACTTCCGAGCAAATGATGACGTCCTCCCTCACGAAAGGTGTTACCTTACCCCACCAATTATTGAATATGCAAGCTTCTTCTTCTTCTTCGAAGGCCCTGTGTGAATTGGCACGCTCGTCACATTCCCATGGCTTCAGGATTGCGACTGACACCCGAATCGACGCATCCGCGTCTGATTCGCTAAAGCAGTCTTGCTGGTTTCATGGAGGCGGCTTTGGCGCAGCCCGGGGCAAGTGCACCTCCGTGCGCACGTGCACAAGGCTCCGTTCCAAGCGGAGAGCGGCTGGCGGCCGCAGCACCGCCGTCGCATGAATCCTCAAATCATCTCAAAAGCTGATCTGAGGAACTTCCAGCGCACGGAGCAGGAACCAGACTTCATGACCTATCCAGACTTCAGTGGGTAATCTGAATGCTCAAAAGCTTTCTCAACCATCTGTCCGGGGTTCGCAGGCCGGAAAAAAGATAAGGTCGGGTATGAAGGCATGTCCAGCGTAGAGATTCGACGCCAATTTTGTTCGACAGCCTTCGTTCTGGGCAGTTGAGAGATGATCTCACATCATTTGACGCAGACGTCGACTACGTTTCAATGAAGGAATGAGTAAGAGCGGGAGGCAGTCAGAATCATGACCGCTGTTTCTGAGCAGACACCAACCGGCTTGCTCGAAAAGGGACCTCTACGTCATAGCCATAGTTTAAAGACCTCGCCGTCAGCCTCTTTGCCAAAGACATGAATCTTTCACCTTCGACCACTTCTGCACGTGCTTGCCCATAAAGTATGGCGCGCGAGTCACTCGACCGCCTGAATGTAGTATCAGTTCAAAATCGGTCGGAGGTTCCTGAACGGAAGGGAAATGACTCTTTAAAGGGCTCGATCAGGAGGTAGCTGATGGGCGAGCACATTGCCCACATCCAGATTGGCCTCACAGCTCTCCGTCTCCCCGGTGCCACTTTGCCGGGACAACACTAGCTAAAGCGATCCGCCCCACTGCCAGCACCGGGCTAGCGGGATTTGCGTGTCCATGCAAACCTTACTACTAGGGCTAAAAAACAGAGGTTTGGTGTTTCGAAGTGCTGACCCTTCGATATTATCAACACTCTCAACAAATTTCGTAGCCGCTTGCGGACTTGATGTAGCCGTTCTTAACTGGATCGCTGCAACGTCACGCGCTCCCGTATCTAGACTGCTCGTAGGATGTTCTGAATGAGCCTCTTTCTGTAATACGGCAGACTGCGCCGCGGCTTCGAGTTCAGCTCAAACGCGGCCGGAGCGGTCCACCTGTACTTGATTGGAGTCCGACGAAGCATTCCGCGCGCGCGGCGTAGCGGCCTGGGCGGAAGCTTGGGGCGCGGCTCCGCGCGCGCGCGGTCAACTTCCGTCAGGATCAAGCGATGCGAGCGAATGTGCCACCTGCTCCTGAAGTTGAGGATTGTGTATCTTGAATTTCCGGGAATGGAGCGCTCATTCTATCTGGTGCCTTTCAACAGGAGTGCATCTTCTCACGTTTATCAAACCGGTACCGTCCAAGCTGTCAATTGAAAGTCATGCTTTTCTTTGTCATGCGGGTCTCGTTAATACAGAACTGAATAAACGAGTCGCCTTCTCGTCAGCGGGGCGCCTGAGCATGAAAAGCAATCAGGTCCTGCTGCGGCTCTTTTGAGTACGGAACAAGATACAAGCGGTTGCCTTTCGCCAGCGCGTAATGAAAGAGAACGTGATGCAACACGCCGTTTCCCTGCACAAACCCGTGCTAGGCTTTTGGGCTGCGCGCACGGAAATCGCAGGCTGCACTGTTGGATACAGGCGGCGCCCTCTGGTAGTACATTAAGCGAAAAGGCCAAAAGACGTACTTAAGAAAGCAGGAACTTTCAAAGGAGACAAACAGCCATCGCCCATCAATCGTTGAGTGTTATTCCGCCGTTGACTTCAAGTGCTGTAAAGCTACGACTGGAATGACTCCGTAAATGACCGCAGGTGCACATCGAAGGATACTGACCAAGCAACTTAATGTTCTGCAAAGATTCACAGTCGCCAACAGCGAGGACTTGAGTAACGATCAACACACTCACTGTGAGTACATTCATTATTGCCCAAACGATCTTCAAGAAATCAAAGCGGGCACATCGTACTTCAGGTGCGAGGTCAAGAATCAGAAACCCTCAAAACCTGGATTATGAGCCAGATCATAAAGCTAGCGCATGACCTGGTGTCGTGCCGCCGCCAAGCTGAGATTTCTTGCTTCAGGCAATCCTTCTAGAGCCGGGATCTAGTGTTAAATGGGTGTCAAATGTTCTTGACAATCGCCCAATCGTAAGGATTGGAGACCTTAGCTTGCTTGTCCATACGAATCCCATTGAATAACAGGCCGTCTTCACCACCACAACCACCTTCCAGAACCAGAATAGTACCACTTGGACCAAGAATAGTTTCACAGTCCGACCTGCTCTTGTGAAAAGCGGAGCCGGGGAAGCGCCAACGGCTCAGGAAGAAAAGCGTGTTTGTGAAATCACAAGCCGCCCAGTTATATCAGCTAATCCTCATCATTACCACAGCCTCCGGATCTGCCTGGCGAGCACTCGGGTTCAATCCCAAACTTTTTTGTGGATTGCAATCTGCAATACGAAGAATAAACACTCCTGCAATTAGAACCTGGAGAACAGGTTCGATCATCCGCGAAGCGCCGTGTGATGAACAATTAATGAATGTAGCGCAATCTGACGCAAGATACGGTGGACGGCCGACGCGCACTCGGTGAGAATAGGCTTCTTCGACGTTGGAAGAATGGTGGGCAGTCACGACAGACGCATTGCCCAAATCTATATTCCCTCTTCATCGCCTGTTGGGATTTCAATCTTGGCTTTTGTCGGACAGAAACGAGATAAGGTACTGGTCGTCCAGAAAAGCGCCTGTTTGGTCAGCTTGCCTGGCACTTGACAAACGTTTCGGAAGATAAGAGCGAAGACGTCTCGCTGTCAGCTCCTTTCCTCAACCTCATCCAGATAGAGCTTATGATACGCTTAAAAGTCGATTCGGCCGTTCAATTCGGCCTCTACTAGGTTGAGTCCACAAGTTCGACTTGGCCGCGGCTTATTGCTACTTTTGTCGCGTTGTATGCGCGCACCTGCGCGGCTGGCGCGCTCTCTGCGCGCGCGCGTCTCAACCGTGCTTCTCACCACCGGCCACTCGCAACATTTCTACCCAACCACATCCGCCGCCCTGGTATCTCGCCCGGCCAGCTCTAAGCGCGCGCGCGGCAGCCTTTGCCTGAGCGGCCAAACGAGGCGGCCGCCGCGGGCGAGACGGCCTTCGAGCTGCAGGGCCGCAACCAGACTGCGCGGCGGCGGCACGCGGCAGAAAGGCCGTGCGCGCGCTTCGATTCGGACTGCGCATGCAACGCCAGCCAAGGGGCCGCGGTTGGGGAACACTCCGTTTTTCCTGATACCTCGTCCTTCGCTTTTGAACAGCCCACTTCGCGCGCGCGGCTTGCCGCGGGGCGAAAGCGATTGTGATTGTATGAATGGTGGCTTGTCACATTTGGGATGAGATCTTGCCGCACAATCGGCACAGCCTTCATGATCTTGTTTGCATCATTGCCACTGTGAAGTTCGATTCGGAGCAGGTGTAAGAAGGCACCAGTACGCGACAGAGTATTTAATCAGGGGAAACATACAACATGCAAGTGCAGAAGGGAAATGCTGAAAATCAGCGTATGTAACGAAGGGCACGTACTCTTGAGGGAAGTTTCCTCAAATCTAGTGAGGGTTTCCTTGTCCTTGTCGAGAGGTCCCACTTATTCTGACGTCAGCAGACTACTCTGTAAATTGGTGACGGGAATTCGCCTTTTCACAAGAAGGACTTCA